AGGTTCCTATATTGGTTTTGCATAGCTTATAGGAATAGGGAAGAGGTATGTAAATTAAATATGGAGGCATTTTTTGGCCCTTCTCAACTGGGGTTTGTGAGAGAATAAGCCCCATTGAAATTATTTGTAAGACTATTGTCAAAAGTACCATTCCAGATGAAAAGAAGTCAATTGATTATACATAAGAGATGACTAAGGGCAATTGTTTTCAAATGACCTCAGCATTATATAAACAATTGTCAGGAATGTAAATGTTTGGTCCTCATCTTAGATCTACAAAATCAGACATTATATTCACGAGGAGAGACCAGGCAATCTGTGTTTTAATAAAATCTACACATGATTCTGGTCCAGTCTGAAATTTGAGAATTACCGCCTTAGTGCATTCAAGCCTAAATCCCTTTGGGAGCGAGGTTAAGACAGTTGTATCAGACTGTTCTTTCATTGCTGTAAAGAATACCTGGGGCTGGTCAATTTATAAAGAAAAAAGGTTTAATTGGCTGATGATTCTGCACGCTTTACAGGAAGCATGATGCTGACAGCTGCTCAGTTTCTAGGGAATCATCAGGAAGCTTACAATAATGGCAGAAGGTGAAGGGCAAATGGGGGATCCGCCCCATGACCCAAACACCTCCCAACCAGGCCCCACTTCCAGGACTGGATTTTGCAATTCTACATGAGATTTTGGAGGGTACAAATATTCAAACGATTATATCAACAGCCTATCAGCTTCTTGAGGACAGAGATTTGGAATGTTTTTCAAATAGTCACAATGTAAAATGATAAAACTAGTACAGTAGACATTTTAATGTTATTCTCTTACATAGATGGATAGCCTTAGGAAAAAGCCTGCTGTGGTTTTATCAGAAATTATCCTGATAATAACAAAATTGTAAATATCAAATTTCGATGGCAAGGTGGAGTATTTGATAATCTACTATTCTGAGTTCATCATCATGTAAGCAAACTTACTACAACAATTACTACCACAAAGAGATACATAATGAGAATTACTAATAATAATACAGACCTATGGCAACTGATGGTCAAAAATCCAAAAAATACTTACAATTCTATGGAGGAAATATAAATGGAAGGGAAAAATTTTTCTATGTGTTTGCATGTATATGTGTGTGTGGTGGGAGGTGTTTGTGTTAGTAGGTGAAAGTGGCAGTTATATAGAGTTTCATTTGGTTTGTTTTTTAATGAGATCAAAGAAACATGCCCCTGAACTGCATACAAATAGATACTTTAGTATTTACTTTGATTTACACACACACACACACACACACACATACATGCACACACATGTACTGCTGTAACTTTCTTTTTGTTCTCCATTTTATGCTATAATAGTCTATTTTTCTTTTTCTACTGATGAACAATACAGACATAGCAGGAGAGAGTTTTTGCAGAAAAAGGCAATGCGTCATCAAAATACAAGAATATTAAAAGCAAATTTCAAATCAGGAAAACATTTGAGCTTTATGCACCAATTAGATTTGGGAACTAAAATGTATTTCAGATTTAGTATTATTTCTTCTACTTTTTTTTAGTTTTCTTCCTTTTTACTTTTCTTTTCATCCTATATTTCTTTTGCTATTCTCCTTCTTTGCTAATAAACTTCTGCTTCTTCTACCCAAATGAGTGAAATATAGCCAATTGGGTCTTCATTTTCACTTTACATGTTGAAGTACAGCAATCCTCTTCAGATGGTTTGATCCTCTTCTCTCAATATCAAGGACAAATTATTGAAGATCAATACTGATGCCAAGGGACATAGTCTTCTAGTTACTGCAACCATATAGAGAAGAGGGCAATAATATTTGAATGGAAAGTGAAGTCACAAATAATTGATATCCACTACAAAAAAAAACACAAACCATCATTTCTGTCACAATATTATTACTTATTGGTTCACCAATTCTGAAAGCAAAAAGTACTGCTGAAATAAAATAGTAACTAAACAAAGTATTTTATCTGTAGTCACAAATTAAAATTATTCTATTACATTTAACTGTTATTTGATAAATGTCTGTTCAGTACATGTGAAAGACAATATGGTAGATAACATATGCATTATTTCTTAGCTTGCCTATATGTAGGTATTAGTTGGTGGACTTGTTAATATGCATATTTCTGGCCTCCATTCAAAGAAATTACACCTCATTGTTATGGGGAAAGGGCTCAATAATTTATTTTTAACAAGCTCCAAAGGCAATTTTCATGTTTTAGGACAAACACTTGCAAATGCCCTGGGAACAGAAAATTGGAACAATGTCACTTTCCTCAAAATTCCTAAATTCTGAAGCATTTGAAATCATAATCATCTTTTGATGTTGGTGCACACATATAGTGACTTCAAATACAAAATAAAATATGTTATATTTTATAAAGCATAGGCTCAGCTTCAAGGTTCAGGTTCAACATGTAAAATGCTTATAAGTAATCTCTCCTGCCTTTACAATAGCAAAAAACTACAGAAACTGAAAGTCAATAACTTTTATTGGACCCATCAGACAACTGAGGTCACAGGGTAAATAGCAAGCCTAAAATCTGAAGAGAAAGGGAACTCCAGATAGTCATAGCTGAGATCTGCTTACCTAGAGCAGATGCCGAGGAGCCATAAACTGGTAGGCAAACTTAAATAGTAATTTTAACAAACTGCCCAAAACGAAATGTAGACTAGCTTGAGTTGGAGAAATTCCTAGGGCTGCATTCTAAAAATGTCCTTCACGGTTTTATGGGTTCTACTTCCAGAAACTCACCAGATTCTTATTAGCAGAGGGCCATGAAAGAGCCTCTCAAGGATCTGGCAAGGTTGGGGAGGTATAATCATTATAATATATACACCTAGAGAGTTCTCCATTAAAACAAAAAGCAAAACGAACAAACAACAAGCAACAATACCTATCTCCATTGGAAAAAACTTTACCAGAGCCTTATCCTATGTGGGAAAAGAGTATTTCTTCAACTTCGGCCCCCTTTAGTCTTCTTGTTTCAACTTAGTGGGGGAAGGATGAAAGCTAAGAAACACCAGTGAAGTGTACAGCCTTGTGACACAGGCCAGCTGAAAGAGTGATATTTAACCATACAATTATAGAATATTTTGCCTTCCTCACAGCCTACCACCTTATCAACAGGGCTTTAATATAATAACACTGCATTACAATAGAAAGTTGCAAAGTATAGATTCTATTTTAAAAGGAATTCTTAGGGAAGCACAAACACAACAGGTGAGAAAAAAAATGAAGAAAATAAAGGAATTTGAAGCTTCTGGAACTTACAACTTTAACAAATGTTCAAAACACTCCATCTCCTAGCCTAATTTAAAAGCTCATAGCAAAGGCCTATTTACTTCAGTTCTTATTATCTGATGCAACATATATGGATTTCACAAAAAAATTATAAACCATGCTAAAATGCAAGTAAAACATAATCTAAGGAGACCTAACAAGCATTAGAACCAGGCAGAGTTATTACACCGATTTGAGAATTATCAAATAGGAAATTTAAAATTACTATTTTAATATATACATGTTTAAGAAGAGATAGACAATAAAAGTAGGAGGAAGGGAACATTCAGAAGAGTTCAAAGGGAAATTCTAGAAATAAAAAGTACTGCAACAGAAATGAAGAATGTTTTTTTTGACAGGTTCATCAGTAGATTAGACATGGATAAAGAAACAATTAATGAGCTTTAAGGGAAATCAATACAAACTTCCCAAACTGAGAGGCAAACAGAAAGGATAATTAAAAATAAATGAAAAAAAATAACAAAACCAAACAAACAAAGCACAGAACATGCAAGAACTACAGGACAATGTCAAAAGGTCTCACACGTGCCTATTGGAATATCAGGAAAAGAAGAAATCAGAAATCCCTCGCTACCTTTCACAAAGTCTTCTGGACCACATAAGCAATACTTCTGTCTTTCTCTCTTTGACAAAAATTTAGTCACATGATGCCAAAAGAAGGTTGAGAAATGCAGTCTTTTAATTGTGCACGCTGATCAGTGTTCTGTTACTTAGGGAAAATTGGAGAATGGTAAAACAGCCTCTATTGTACTCAGCTGGAAGTAATAAATCTGGGAATAAAACAGTTTGATTATGAAAATATATTTGTCATTCTAATATGGAAGGACTTTATTCTTTAGTGTTCTGAAAGGCACACGGTAATTTACTCTGACAAGGTCTATATGAGTCTATATGAACTATATTGGATTTGAGCATATCTTGCCTTAGAGATATTGTTGCCCATTCCTCACATAACTTTTTAGCTAATCGGTGGAAACATGTCATATTGCTGAGCAAATGCAAAAATTGAGTTGAATCTGGGCTAATCCCAGAAGTCCTAGATGTAACCATTCATAGCAGTATTTGTCTTCAGGCCTGTTGAAGTATGAAGAAAGAAAAAATAATTTAATTTGGATGGAATGCCAAGTTCATTAATTAAAAAGTAAAAAGAAAAGAAAAAAAGGACAATGTTGTACAACTAGAGAGGATAAAAAATTTGAAGACTATGAGTAAACTTTCCTGTTATATCAAATAATTTGATTTTATATTTTCTGAATAATGAATGGGAAACCATGAAATTTTAGAATAGGTTGAAAATTCTGAGATGCACTTAAGGAAACAAATTAGAAACATTGTCACTTGCTTTAAAAGAAGAAAAATGAATATACAAAAATCTGGTAGGTGAGTAATGCATTTACAATAAAGGTAAGAGATTGATTGAAAAATAAATACATCCGAATTATATTGAAAGCAACATTTGCCTACTTCCCTAATTTAACTGTAAACAACTTTGCAAATATCCAATCCTCCCAAATCTAGACCTCACCAATAGTTGTCCAAAGTTTACTATTTAACAACAGTTTGAAGAACGCATTCTGGAATTTTAGATGCACTGCAAACTTTAAGTTTAGGTTACGAACATGTCCCTCTTTTGGAGTGAAGCAATTGTTTATTTTATTCTATCTTTTTTTTTTTTTTCCCCAGGAGTGGAAAATATCATGCAATCTGACTGAAATTCAGATTATCTTCAAACAGTTACGCTGAGACTACAAGGTATACTGGGAAGAGAGAGCTCACTGTCTGATCACTTACTCACCAGAAATTTAACATGTTGGAGAACATCTTGTATTATTTGGAATCTATCCATCATTAAACATAAATGAGGAGACTGTGGTACACAAATGTGGTAATACCAAATGGATACATGTATTAAAGACACTGTAACCATCTGGACTCAATATGGGACCCAGAATGTTCCCATTTATCAAATTATAATTCCCATACGATATTTTATATCTGTAATTCAATGTTGATGAAAACATAATTGTTTTCCATTTGTCAGAGTGATTTTCAGCAGTAATGAATTAAGTTAACACATTTATCAGAGAAGGAAAAGATTGGTGTCCAAAAGAGAATTTTACTAAATTCTCTGGTTTTAAAGAAAGAGGAAGAACAGAGACAAATAACAGTCACCATCAGAGGATTATTCAAAAATTTTAAGAATGAACGCATTTTATAATTATTCTTGTCTCCATCTGTTTGAATTAATTTCCTCTCTTAAAAGTGCTCTCCCTTTTCACTGTTTACCTAGATATTAAACAGGTTTCAAGATCCATCTTTTCCATAAAAAAATTTTATTATTACCATCCACTCCATTATACACTGAACTGTCCCTTCTGTAACACAGGAGACATTACTACCGCCACCAAATAACTTTTATCACGGGTTTTTTAATGATCTCCATGCAAAAGAGAGGTCTGTCTTCTTTCCTGTCTTTCTTTTTTTTTTTCCTATTAATTGATTTCTTTCTTTCTTTTTTCCTTTTTTTCAAGTTTTATCATGAAAAATTGTATAACAAACACCAATAAATAAAACTAAGAAAAATGCAGATATTATTTTTCAAGACATAGAAGTTACCCCACTTTGTCTACCAGGACTGTGTTATAGCTGGAACATCTCTATTGGAAACTCAGGATATCTTGATAGACCATTAGCACAGCCTGTAAAAAATATTATCCTCAATAGTTCTTTGATGAATACTAGCACCCTTTTTAGTTCTGGCTATTGCTACTTAGGATAACCAGTATCATATTCTTTCCCCTTGTTCTGAAATAAATGCTGTCAAGAACACTTTCACTTCCAGTCCGTCTAGACTCTAGCTCTTCTAAGAGTTAGTCCAGGAAGGAATCTATGATGGTAAGGTTGAAGGTATTAATGCAATAAGTAAAAGTAAAAACTAATAGGGAGCAATAAATGCCCTGAGAGCTCCTTCCTTCCTCCAGTCTAGACTCTGTTTTCTCCCAAATGTTATTGGGCATCCTGAGTGTTTTTCAATCACCTCTTGTACCTCTCACTTAGCCACATTTTGCTTCTTAGCACTTAGTCCTTGAATCCTATAGTCAAATTTTCATGATTTTCTAAGTATTTTTGCTCTCCAAAGTGTATAATCCTTATTCCGTTATTCTCCTCAGTCATGGCACCTCTGTTCTTCCAGCGAATGAGGTAAAAAATCTTGGAGATATCCTTGCAGTTTCTCAGTCTCCAGAATACCCCTGAAATCTAACATTTTTTTTGGTAATACCACCGTAGCCCAAGCCAACAACATACCTAAATATGACGATTGCAATGCCCTCTGAGAGTCTTCCATTTTCCAGTATTATCAGCCCTCGTATACATATACCTCTGTCTATCTTTTCCAAATGATGATTTTGACATAGGAATCTGTTCATGACATTCCTGCAATCTAAGTTCTCCAGTGGTTTCCCATTAAGCCTAGAAAAATACTCACATTTACTCCTTGGCTTATAAATTCTAACAGGAACTTGTTTCTGACTGCCTCCCCTACTCACGTCCCATTATCCAGCCACACATTTTAATATTTTAAAAACTCGTCTGCCTTGGGACTATTGCACATTGCTCCACTCATCTTATTACTCTAGATAGCCTTATGACAACTTTTTATTTTGTACAAATGCCAAGTCAAATTTATTACCTTCAGAAGTTAATTTCCTAAGTATCTCAATTAAATAGAAGTCCTCCATAAATTGAAAACTTATTTTAAAATGATTTTATACTTATCATTATGTGGCAGCATATAAATAAGATACGTATATACATGTATAATGTCTAATAACAATTAATGTATTTAATATTTTCCCAACTAATAGACTGTAAACACCACGAAGGCAAGGATATTATTTATATAAATAATAGTGCCTGATACATAGGAAATATATAATAAATATTCTGAATAAATGAATAATCTAAAGGAATTATACTATTTATATATTTCAAAAGGGAATATAAGCATAATTTAAAACAAAATATTGAGGAGGAAAAATACGTTTTACATATATATCAGAAAAAGTAAAATTCCAAAAACTTAACTCTGAAATTCTTCATGAAACTTGGTCTAACAAGACCTTCCCCATTACAATTGATGGCAATTTCCTCTTTCCACTTGCCAATACAAATCCTTGAAGACTTCCTTGATACCATTCTTTCTCCTGGAGTCTCATGTAATCTATTATTTTAGTTACCCATAACTTCAAAATATATGCAGACTCTGATGGTCTCTCAGCACATTTTATTAGCCCTTTGTCCCATGGTTATCTCTATGCCTAAGTTATTGCCATATCCTCGTAAGTTGTGTCTTTGCCTACAGTACAGGCTTTTCATATAACAGCAGCTGGAGTGATCTCTTTCTACTGAAGGATTGAGTACTGGCATATGATGGAACTTTTTCCTGCTTGCACAGCTTTCCAATTATTTTATAAGTTAGCGGTGGTTCTTTGAAGCTCTGGAAAATCCTGTTTTCTGAAGCTGTCATCATCACCAATAAATATTCATGACAGTGTTGTTTATTGTATGAATTGCGATGATTCTTTCTGGAGTTACATGAATTTGTGTTTGAAACAGAAGCCTACATAAGCCTTGGATTTTTAACCCAATATTCTTGAATCTCTACCTGTATTGTTATGACTGTGATGAATGTCATGTAGACAATCAGAATTCCAAAGGGGTGCAGCATCAAAGTAGTTTCTCTCGTCAGACCAGAGAAATTCAAAATAGTCTTCAAGATGGAAAAAAAAATAAAAATAAATAAATAAAAAACTTGAGTAACAGTAGGCTATTGGTAAGAAAACTTCGTTACTACCTAACATTACATCTAAAGATAAGATAAATTTGGGGCATGTTCTTGTGGGGTTTTTTTAATCAACTATAATTTCTATTTCAGGGATTCAATGTCCTGTTTTAACTTTAGAAAGGAGAAACTAAAATTTAATTTTAAAAGTTTTTATTCCAACATTTATTTTATGCTATTCTTCTGCTTTATAGGCATGGATAAATCTTAAAGGCATACAATAATTGGAAATATATATATATATATATATATCACAGTATGTTAACATATATCAGATTACGTTATTATTTCTTTGCTCAAAATTCTACATTTTAATAATATTAAATTCAAATTTTTCCACAATGGTCTCCTAGGTACAATGTGATTTGTGTCCAGGCTATGACACTCCATTACCCCCACTTTGCCTCCAGCTGGTTCTTGCTTTTCTTTTCCTCACTTGTTACTGCATAGTGGCCTTCCAGTTGTTGTTGAAACTGACAAGCACATTCCATCCTAGGGCATTTGCTTTAGCTGATCTTTGTGCCTGGAGCACTCTTCTCCCAGATTTGCAATTCGCTTCCTGCCTTACCTTTGCGCAGATATCACCTTCTTAATGAAGCTGACCCTCACAAATCTATTTAAAATGTTCAGTCTGGAAATCCTTATTCCCCTAATTATGTTCTATTTTATTTTACTTTGTACAGTACATATATCATCTTCCAGCACAAGTTTTAAGTTCGTTATTTATTATGTCTGTGGTATATCATCTTTTTTTCTACAAGAATGTCAGCTGCATGAGCACAACTTATCTTATTCTTGTTGTCAAGCTAAATAACAGAGAGAGGCTCTCTAAAAGAAAAAAGATATTTATTCAGGAGTAAGGTATTTCAGTGGGAAAACAAGTGCCACAGTAAACTATGTGTGTATTCAGGGAGGTCAAGGAAGACAAAGTTTTTTAAAGGAAAAAATGAAGAGGATTACAAAATTTTTGTCAGGTAATTATCCTTGACTGTAAGGATCAATAACAAGGGTAACAACAATCTGAGAAGAGTTTCTGGGAAGATTTTTTTGCAGAAGTATTTTTGTGTAAGGTTGCAATAGCTTCTGTACAAGGTTGTGGTTTTTGCAATGTTTGTGGTAGTTTTTTTCTCAGGCATACAAACATGAGAACCTTCTCCTCAGGGCCTTTTCTGGCTCTATTTGTCTTTATCTTTTTTTAAAACACTAGTGACTCCCTTCTGATTCTGATAATTTTCACACTGTATGTGAAGCACTACTATTATGCATATACATGGTAAAAGCTTGGAGGGCAAGCTTTAAATTATATTTGTTGCATGAATATTTTAAGAGCTCTTACAAATAAAGATAAAAAACCAAACCTGACAATTGAAGAAATAAAAGTAGAAGCAAGACTATGAAAAAGAAAAATTCAGCTTAAGATCAAAGGCAAATTAAAAGCAAAACTCCATTTTAGGCAAATAATTTAGAAGTAGCTTTTCCTTTAATTCCTGATAAACATGTTTTTTAAAAGGCAGTATAAATAATAGAATCTAGTAGAGAGATTCAGTCATGGTTGCTGCCCTATCTCACATGATTCCTTCTTAAAAGAAACGTACAGTAACCTTCGTGTTCACATTCCAGGGCAAATATTTAGCCATGATTATGATTCCATATGCTTACTGTGTAGCATAAATATCATGCCTATGGATAGAACCCTCTAATGTTGTGATCTCTATTTAACCTGTTCTTCAGAAAAGGTCATGTGACCCATGCCCTCTGGGGCAATCTTGATAACTCTCACTCTCTTTCTCCATATGCAGCCAAATATGTCAAGGGCAACGTACTACTTTCCCGTGAAAAGAGACTTCCTTCTTGTCTTTTGTGCTTTTGTTTTTTTTTTTTTGGTCTTCTAGTTTTTCCGCAACAGATCTGTATTAAACATCAAATTTAGTTTAGAGAATTGAGGATGATTAAATAGCCCAGCACTCTTATGTATAATTAACTGAAAATTAAATATGGCCGTAAATATGAACGTAGTCCATTCCAGCTCACCAGGGGAACTCTGCTTTAGAATTCCAAGAACAGATCTGGACAGGATAAAATACTATTTTCTTCAATGTTGTCATTTTTTCTTATTTATTTATCTTAGTTGTTTAATTATGGGGTCAGAAGGCTGGGATCTAAAGTAGAATTCTGGTACTGTACTTTAAGTTTCCTCAAACTCCATATAACAGAATTAGAAAATCCTACATTAAACCTGAAGTGTGTGTGTGTGTGTGTGTGTGTATTTGTTTTCTATGTGTGCATTGGAGTTCATCTGTTTTTAAACCTAGGATAAAAAAATAAGATAGGGAAACAGAAGATATTTGGTATATTTGTTGATTGGAAAGATGACAGTTACAGTGAAAGAGGTGTATTAGATCTACAACTAAGAAATGAACATTGAGCAAGAAAGAAACACTACCAAGATAAACAGACAAAAAATTCTATCTGGTAATATCATGGGTATTGTAGAAAAAAAGAGTATCTTTTTTTCCCATCTTAAGTTTATGGCTGAGTTCTCTATAACAAAAGAGAGATTAGCAACACAAAAGCATACAAATTTATTTAATATAAGTCTTATGTGACACAGGAGTCTTCTGAAATGAAAACATTTAAGTCAATAATCAACTGCATATGTTACAGTGGTCTCATAAGATTATAATACTGTATATTTATTATACTTATATATGTTTAGATATGTCTAGATATACAAAACCTTACCATTGTGTTATAATTGCCTACAATATTTAAACAGTAAGATGCTGTACAAATTGGCATCTCAGGAGTAATAAACCATACCATGTAGCCTAGGTGTGTAGCAGGCTATTTCATGTAGGTGTGTATAAGTATGGCCTATGACATTTGCATCACAAAATTAGCTAATAACTCATTTTTTAGAACGTATTCCCATTGTTAAGCGATTCATGACTCTACTTAAAAATTTGGAAATTGGAGTGGCAAATCACAGGTGCTAAATTCACCATCTTGGCATAGTCAAATAAACAACACAGAGACTTAGGCACTATGACAAAAGTGATCAAAAGAGTCAAAATTACCCATGCAAAATGTTGCATATTATAAAGATCATGCCAGTTACTGTTTCCATTTATACGTATGTTGAAAAGGGTGTTTATCTCAAGTTCCTTATCATTGTAAATCAGAGGGAAAAAATGCATAGAAGTGAAGCAGAGGAGGAGGCCTAATATCAGAAACAAGAAGTTGTAGTTGGAAATCTCACAAAAGAGAGATATAAAACAACATATTAAAAACTGGTCATAAGCTATTTTAAAACAACCTATCTACTGTTTTTTTTAATTCAAATATATTCAGCATGTCAGTCATATATCAGTTATATATTTTTTCTTGTTTCAATTCTAAAACTACAACTGACAAGTTTTAGTAATCTCACCAGATAGAAAGAAGAATAATTTTAAAAATTTATATAATTTGAGGTTATTTCACCATAACCATATTGCAATGAAAAATGATGTTTTATTTTTAATAAAAATAATTTTGTCAACAAAAACTTGCTTACGGTGTGATTTCAAAAGTGATAAAGTAATGCATTTAGAATTAACAATTAACTTTTTTTTTTTTTTTCTGTTTTCTGAATTCCTGATGCAGTGGCATCTGGCCCTTGCTGACCTGAGACAGATTGTCCCACCCAGGATTAGTTTATTCTCAGAGATAGTAAAGGACTTGCTTGAGAACATGCCTTTGGTATGCAAAACAGCCAATCCCAAATCTATGTCCCCTTTTCCTTCTGTTATGTTTACACTATGGAACGCTTTCCTCCAGGCCTAAGCACCCCAGAACAAGGTCACTGACAACTAGGGACTACTTCTGCACCCCACAGTCCACCAAATTAATCAAAATATCTCATTTTAAACCTACTTTGCTTTGCATCATCCATTCCTCCCTACAAAAACTCCAGTCAAGGCTTTGCCGGTAGCTCTCCTCTCTGTCTGCTCATCTCATGCAGATGCTTCCCAGGCATGGTGCGCTGTGCCTCCTATTTTTAGGAGACCGTGAGAATAATACAAATGCCTTTATTAATCACAATCATGTTTGTGCCTGTGTGTCTTATCAAACTTAATTAAAACAAATCCTGGGTACCATAAAACAAATCTGTATAAAAACATTAAAAAGTATGAAACCATTAAGATATAAAGAGTTAATCATCAATTATCCAGAAAGTTTGCTTCACTAGAAAACTCATTGCCAGATAATGTCACATAAAGGAGGTACTACAGTTTCCTGAGTTCTTGTCAAAACTGGAACGTAAAACCTAAAAAAGAAATTAAAGATAATCAGACCTAAGAGCTTAAAAACACAGTAGATTGTTCACTGGCCTACCCTGTAAAACTAGAAAATCTGGAGAAGTCATTTAAAATAATGACCAGCCTCACAGGGATTTTATTTGTAATGAAGACTTAATGTATCTGAACCATTTTTAAACTTTATGGATGAGAGACATGAATGAAGTACTTTGCTAAATCACTCTCCTGTCTCTGGCCTCAGGAGGTTAACTGCGATGCTAGCTTTCCTATGAAGACCACAAGAAGGAGAGAGACCAGAATTTTACAGTTTGTTTTGAGCAAAGGTCATATGGAACCATTGCTCCAGGGATCATTGCTTTTCTACATGGATTGTACTCATAACAAACAAATGAGCTATTTTAATACACATCAAAGTGGTCCTGACTATCAGGAAAGTAAATCAAACTAAAGCGACACAGAGACCGCACACACACAATATATATACCAATCCCTGAAGAATAGAATGGTGGAATGTGTCTTTATCACACAGAAATAATACGACGGTTATGACTTTCTGTGAAGTGATGGTTACTGGAACATAGAAAAATAAACAAATAAACTCACTTGGAAGGAGACTGGAGATAGGGCCTACTTACAAGATGAAGGTGAATCATTCTATGACTAATATTGTTCAAAATGTTATTGGAAACTTTTTCTTAAAAAGTTGAACATTATTGGGCTATATTGGTATAGCATTTGCAAATATGTTCTGTATATAAAATCATATGAAAAAATGGAAGTTCAGAGCGACTCAGTAACTTCTCATGGGTTCTTTTTGAAGGTGAAGAGCTTGGATACAATTCTCGATCTGAGTTCAAAACGCTAGCTAATGAGTTTTGAAACATTAATATGTTTTATTCATATAAAACATTATCTTGAGTTTTCTGTAAAGAATGTGATATCTTTCTAACATTGTAAAATTATTTACATTTTTAAAACCATTTTTCTATATTACAATGAATGGTAGTGAAAATTGGATGGACTTTAATATTAGCGACCTAGATTTAAATAAGAGCTTAACCATTTGATATTTGTGAATCGTAGAAAAGTTACCTAATCTCTCAAAGCTTAAGTTTTTGAATGTGTGAGCACGGCCAAGATGTGCTCACAGAGAATGGTTTGCATAATAAAGGGTGATGTGTTTAAGAAGTACTGTTAAATTAGAAGTTACAAAATATAGTTCCTTTTTTTTTTTTGAGGCGGAGTCTTGCTCAGTCGCTCAGGCTGGAGTGCAGTGGCGAGATCTCGGCTCAATGCAAGCTCCGCCTCCCGGGTTCACGCCATTCTTCTGCCTCAGCCTCCCAAGTAGCTGGCACTACAGCCGCCCGCCACCACGCCCTGTTAAATTTTTTGTATTTTTAGTAGAGAGGGGGTTTCACCGTGTTAGCCAGGATGGTCTCGATCTCCTGATCTCCTGATCTGCCCACCTCGGCCTCCCAAAGTGCTGGGATTACAGGCGTGAGCTACCATGCCCGGCCAAAATATATTTTCTACCGTAGCACATAACAAGAAAAAAAATTACTTGGAAAAAAAAAATCCCACAAAATGCCTGCTTTGAATTAAAAAAAAAAGAAAAAAAAAAAAAACATGGAAAATTTATTCTGCTTTAAAAATAAAAATGACACTCCAAATTCAAAAGAACTGCTTTTCTAAATGATGTTGCTAAAGTAGAGTTGTATATTAAAGCATTTTTTAAAAAAAGAAAGTTGCTGATGTTTTTCCAATGTATTGTGTCGTTCACGCCCCCAGTCATCTAGCAATCCTTCTTAGCTATGTATCTAACTCATACTCCATATTTTAAAGACTCTCCTCTGCTCCTGTGGTTTACCTAAAAATTCCAAATTTCAAAATTGTGTTTTCCTAGTATACTGTTGAAAGATTTTTTGAGAAAGTCTTCTTCAAAACTAGTTTTTAAAAATTTGAATTAGCATCAAGCCATTGAAATTAGACCTGCTAGCCTCTCTAGAAATGATGTGCTGAGACCTGAAAATGCTCTGTTTCTTTGCAGAGGATGTTTTTGGGTAATTCTCCTTATTACAACCAGATAGCTCTGAGTGTGTTAGAACCAAGCACTGAGGATCTTTACATTATTCTACTTTTGTTGTTGTTGTTGTTGTTGCCTATTCTGAACAACACTGGTGACTAGAACCTATGACTTCCTCAAGGGTAGCATCCTGAAAAATTGCTATCCCAATTCAGAGTATTTATACTTTTTAACAACAGCTAGATCACAGATGCAGATAACCAAATCAGACCTTGTCTCTGTAAACAACTGATATAGCCAAACGTGTGCGTACCAGATGACTATCATGCCTGGTCAAGATTTGTTATCAAAAGCTAAGGTCCTTGAGTTTTCACAAGGTGTGATCCTTGAGGTGTCTTCTGGGTGTGATTGTGGAAAGCTTTCAGTACTTACTTCTAGCTTTAACTTTCCCGCATTTCTAAAGGATGGTTTTCAAACCTTGACATATCCTTCTATCCCCTACTGTCTTTGGTGTTGAGATAACTTGTCTTTGTTCCCCCCAGGAACACATTGAATCCCTTCGCTAAGTACATGTAAAAGACAGGAAAGAATGACAGCATCATGGACTCCTCATTTTTCTCTTTCCTTTTTTATAACACTTTACAATGAATGAGATTGTAGTCAAAAGCCCTCCAAATTCTTCATCTTCCCACTTGTTCACTTGAAAAACGTCATGCTATAAGTGAAAGAAGGCAGTCACAAAAGATCTTATGTTATTCCATTTAAATCAAATGTCCACAATAGGCAAATCTATAGAGATGAAAAGCAAATTAGCAGTTGCTTGGGAATGAAGGAAACAAGAGAGTGATAGGTAAAGGGTCTGGGGTTTGTTTTTGAGGTCATAAAAAATATTTTGAAATGTTTTGTAGTGATGTTTATACATATCTATGAATTTACTGAAAACAATTTCATATTTGTGAATCACATCTTGAAAAAATGGCTAAATACCATATTAACAACTAGAGTCCAGAGAGACAGGTACTAAAATACAGAATTCCAAGTAGTTGCCAATTGATCAAATAGTGGCTGTTTCTCTTTGATTATCATTTACTTAAATGCATTGTCAAAATTTAAAAATGTAGGGATTTCATATAAAAATCCAGAAGAAAGGAAGGAAGAAAGGAAGGAAGGAGGGAAGGAAGGAGGGAAGGAAGGAAGGAAGGAAGGAAGGAAGGAAGGAAGGAAGGAAGGAAGGAGGAAGGAAGGAAGGAAAGAAGGACAAAAGAAGAAAGAGAGAAGCATTATACCTTGTCTGTTGGGTTTTCATAAGAGTTATTATCTCTGGATAATTATCTCTGAACAATAATAGTTTGAGCCCCCCAGGAACACATTGAATCCCTTTGCTAAGTACTTGTAAAAGACAGGAAAGAATGACAGCATCATGGACTCCTCATTTTTCTCTTTCCTTTTTTATAACACTTTACAATGAATGAGATTGTAGTCAAAACTGGGGACAAGGAAGGTATTTTTCTCCTGCAATGAAAGAAAAAAAACCTCAGTGTCAATCACTGACAACATTTAAAGAGTATCTTCTACTGACTGACAACTTTTAAGACAATACTATATTGCCCAAGGAATGACTGAGATATCAGACTTCATAGTTAAGGATGCTATTTATGAACTCCAGGGGGTTGTGATGTTCTTACTGTTTAACAAGTGTAAGGAAGAGATCCCACAATGCTGCTGCACAAAATCCCTTTGTCATTCCACTTAATCCCCTTCACCATTTCCTCTCCTGAACCTTAGCTTCATGGCCGCTTTAGTTCTTTGAAGTTTGTTTTTCTGCCCCCCATCTGTGTGAATCACTGCAGGCCAAATTCTGTTTTTGTGATAGTCAAGGGGAGCTGCCAGCCTGTATCTAAAGGCTGAATTTAGCACCAGGGGTGGTGGCTGATCTCTAACAAATGTAAACAAACCTATCAGAAAATGTGGCTGAGCTAGACAAGTGTTGGGGAGGGATGTTAGAAGAGTGGGCAGATAATGACTTTTATATGGTTCTACAGAACTGACTGTGTTTTTCTTTCTTTTTCTGTAATTCCAGTTCAATTGTGATCTTATATAATACCTACAGGTTGCATAATGATTGTAGGGTTATTGAAAATATTGCATTTTATACCAGTAATATTTCTTTTTTACATTTGAAGCACTTTCAAATTCCTTATTTTTTTTATTTATTTTTTTTTTGGTAACACAGTTAGGATGGATTATCATATTAGATAAAGGTTGATAAATTTTATGTATGATGACAAAAGTGTTGGTTTCTAAGTACTTGTCAACGAGAAACCTAATTCAATGATTATAAATCAACATCTTTATATTCATTTATTATTTACAGATATGTAAAGATTATTTTTAATAGTCTAGTAGGTTTCTCAATTTGCCAATACAGTTTCACTCAATTTCCCCTTGTTAGAATACAGGAGTTAAGGAATGTGCTACAAGTATGACTTCTGTAGAGAGTTGTCAATCTACAGATCATATTATAATAGTTTCAATAACTCTAATACTACATATACATTGCTGAAGAAAGAGATTTAAGTAAAAATTTTAAGGCAAGTAAAAAAAAATCTACTTAATTGTATCCATTTTGGAAAGCATATTAATCAACTTTTCACTACAAAAAAATGCTAATTCAGTAAGCTATCTAATGCTTAATCTAAAAGAGGTTGCATTGTATTATAAATTGAGAAAAACTGCATTACAATTTAACATGATTTGTTCTCATCTCTGAGGAGATTCTGAGCTTCTAGGTTCAATTTACTGGTCAGGCTAAGATTTCTGCAGCTGCTCAGTTGCAGTTAAAACTGAATAGAAACTATCAAGATATGTCCCAGTTGATCATCAAAGTGCCAGACATATTCATTCCTGCTCTGATATTTGCCAACAACCTTCTCATGTATAATGATCATGTTCAATTATTACTTTACTATGACTACTCTATTTGTTTCCTGATAATCTTCTAGCACAAGGAGCCAAAGAGTTCATGAGGCAGCTGTGGTTATGTAAGTTTAGTGAATCTCTTACTGTGTACCCAGGAGGAAACATCCCTTCTGCGAGAACTAGGACTTTGGAACTGTAGAATTTAAAGTTGCAAATTTAAGAAACACAAAATTCCTAAGAGGTTCAGTAGGATAGTAGAGCATCCTGATTTCCATCCCTCAGATTCTGAGTCCATGTGGTCTACTAATTTAAGACAGCAGCATAATCTCTTTCTTAGTGAATATTCTCCAGTAGCTATTAGTGTACAAATTAAAGATCTGTACACTTGTGCCTATTCTTATTGCTTCACCCATATGCATCTTCCCCAAAGTTCCTTGTACCCATATTTCAATGTTGTTTATTACAAGCCTATGGCCAAACAGATAACCCATTTGCTACTGTCTATGAATATTATATATAATAAATTTGGAGCTGGATGTGGTGGCACATGCCTGTAATCCCAGCACTATGTGAGACTAAAGTGTGAGGATCACTTGAGCCCAAAAGTTCAAGGCTGCAGTGAGTTATGATCATGCCACTGCACTCCAGCCTGGATGACAGTGAGAACCTGTTTGTAAAATGAAATAAATAATTAAAATGGTAATACTGGTTTAATTCTTATATTAGTCTGTTCTCACACTGCTAATAAAGACCTACTCGAGACTGCGTAATTTATAAAGGAAAGAAGTTTAACTGACTCACAGTTCCACATGACTGGGGAGGTCTCACAATCATAGCTGAAGGAGAATGTGGATCAAAGTCATGTTTCTCATCGTGGCAGGCAAGAGAGCTTGTGTAGGGGAATGCCCCTTCACAAAGCCATAAGATTTCATGAGACTTATTCACTATCATGAAAATGGCATGGGAAAGACCCGCCCTCATGACTCAATTACCTCCCACAGATAGGGTCCCTCCCATGACAAGTGGGAAATATGGAAGCTACAATTCAAGAGGGGATTTGGGAGGGGACACAGCCAAATCATATCATTCTGCCCCAGCCTATCCCAAATCTCATGTCCTCACATTTCAAAACCAATCATGCCTTCCCAACAGTCCCCCAAAGTCTTAACTCATTTCAGCATTAACTCAAAGTCAAGTCCAGAGTCCAAAATCTCATCTGAGACAAGGCAAGTCTCTTCTGCCTATGAGCCTGTAAAATCAAAAGCAAGTTACTTACTTCCTAGATACAATGGGGGTACAGGCTTTGGGTAAATACAACCATTCCAAATGGGAGAAACTGGCCAAAACAGAGGATCTACAGGCCTCATGCAAGTCGAAAATCCAGCAGGGTAGCCAAATCTTAAAGTTCTGAAATGGTCTCCTTTGACTACATGTCTCACATTCAGGTCACACTGATGCAAGAGGTGGTTCCCATGTCTTGGGCAGCTCTGCCCCTGTGGCATTGCAGAGTACATCCTTTCCCCCTGCTGCTTTCATGGGTTGGCGTTGAGTATCTGTGGCTTTTCCAGGTGCACGGTGCAAGCTGTTGGTAGATCTACCATTCTGGAGTCTGAAGGATGGTAGTCCTCTTCTCATAGCTCCACTAGGCAGTGCCCCAGTGGGGCCTCTGTGTAGGGGGCTCTGACCCCACATTTCTCTTCAACACTGCCTTAACAGAGGTTCTCCATGAGGTCTCTGTCCCTGCAGCAAACTTCTGCCTAGAAATCCATGCATTTCCATACATCCTCTAAAATCTAGGAAGAGGTTCCCATACCTCAAGTCTTGTCTTCTTTTCACCCACAGGCCCAATACCATGTGGAAGTTGTCAAGTCATGGGGCTTGTACTTTCTGCAGTAATGCCCTGAGCTGTATGTTGGCCTCTTTTAGCCAGGGCTGGAACTGAAGCACCTGGGATGCAGGGCACCATCTCCCAAGGCTGCACAGAGCAGGGGGCCCTGGACCTGGTCCATAAAACCATTTTTCCCTCCTAGGCCTCCAGGACTGTGATGGAAAAAGCTGCTGTGAAGACCTCTGACATGACATGGAGATGTTTTTTCCATTTTCTTAGTGACTAACATTTGGTTGCTTGTTACTTACGCAATTTCTACATTGGGCTTGAATTTCCTCAGAAAATGTATTTTTTCTTTTCTATAGTATCATCAGGCTTCAAATTTTCTGAATTTTATGCTCTGCTTCCCATTTAAACATAAATTCCAATTCCAAACCATATCTTTGTGAAAACATAAAGCTGAATGCTTTTAACAGCACCCAAGTTACCTCTTGAACACTTTACTGCTTAGAAATTTCTTCTGCCAGATTCCATAAATCATTTTTCTCAAGTTCAAAGTTCCACAAATCTCTAGGGCAGGGGAAAAATGTCACCAGTCTCTTTACTAAAACATAGCAAGAGTCACCTTTATTCCAGTTCCCAACAAGTTCCTCATCTCAGATGGAGATGTTCAAAGAGCGTTTGTTCAAAGCCAGTCAACAAGTCTCTAGGAAGTTCCAAACTTCCTCAGATCTTCCTGTCTTCTTCTGAGCCTTCCAAACTGTACCAATATCTACCTCTTACCCAGTTCCTAAGTTGCTTCCACTTTTTTGGATACCTTAACAGCAGCACCCCAATACCTGGTACCAATTAACCGTATTAATCTGTTCTCATGCTGCCAATAAAGATATACCTGAGACTGAGTAATTTATAAACAAAAAGAGATTTAATAGACTCACAGTTTCACATGGCTTGAGAGGCCTCACAATGATGGCAGAAGACAAAGGAAGAGCAAAGGGACATTCTACATGGTGGCAGGCAAGAGTACAAATGCAGGGGAACTGCCCTTTATGAAACCATTAGATTTCATGACACTTATTCACTATCACGAGAACAGCATGGGAGAGACCCACCTCCTGATTCAATTACCTCCCACCAGGTCACTCCCGTGACATATGAGAATTATGGGAGCTACAATTTAAGATGAGATTTGGGTGGGAACACAGCCAAACCATATCGATTCTCTTTTGTCATAAAATGGACAACAAGATGTACATGCCAACCCTATATCTATTGAAAAGATTCCTTCTCACCATTATGTCTCATAGCTATCACTAGAGACGAACATGGCCAACCTGGTGAAACCCATCTCTACTAAAAATACAAAAATTAGCTGGGCATAGTGACAAGTGCCTATAATCCCAGTTACTCAGGAGGCTGAGGCAGGAGAATCACTTAGACCCAGGAGGCAGAGGTTGCGGTGAGCCTAGATTGCGCCATTGAACTCCAGCCTGGGTGACATACTGAGACCCTGACTCAAAAAAAAAAGAAAAAAAAAGTTGTACTACAAAAGTCCATTTTTGGCTCATACAATCATACTGAGGTGACCTTACTCATGAGGTAAGTTCTGTACTATTCTTCCTCTGCCAGCCATTAAAAAAAAGATCCAGCTTGCGAAAACAGATGTAAGTATAAAAGAAGGTACTGCTCCAACAGTGGTGGGTGGCATCTGATACTGTGACATTCATTTATGTATCTTATTTTTACCCATGAAACTTGAGATTGATCCTAGATGTACCACTTCCATCTTACCATCGATTCTAGCTAGGTCCCACTGACTATATGACTTTTGAAGTCTTCTCACACCCAGATCTTGATAAGTAATACTCATTCCATAGTTTCTTGATATGCCATGGTCAGATATTCCATCTTTACCCGTGTCCAATAGCATACTTACAGTCGTTTTTCAAATATGCTTGCATCTCTGCTGCAAATGTCATGATCTTTCTTACTTCTTAAGCCTTGGAGTTTGAACTACAGTTTTCATCTGAATCTGTATGTTAGACACCACATAAAACCTTTTCCCTAAATCAGATAACCTTAGTTCTATGAGATCTTCTAGTTGCATGGCTCAAACAACATCTTGGATCTGTTTCAGAGTCTTTTCTAGTTCTAAGTCCCACTCAAAGCCATTCATGTTACCTAACAAATGTGTCAGAATAGCATTACATGTAATAGCATTATTGTGCAATAAATGTGTCAGAATACAATTCCCAACTATGGTATGCTGCACATGACTCCCAAAGAGGCTTATGAATGATGTAGCTCATTTATTAATATATTGGCCTGCTCTGGATTCCTAAAAATTTTGAGAAATATGATAGGCACGTGAATAATTTTAAGGATTATATTTACCCTCTACAGCATGGTATTCAGACTAGTAGCCATTTTTTGTTCATCAGATCAATCAACATGATGTCCTTAATACAGTGGATCAACTTTATCTCCTGTAGTTTGTTTAGATGGTACTAGAGCCTACTGGTATATTGTGTCAGCAAGCTAGAGAAATAAATTTATTCAAGAGAAAGACCCACAATGTTTGTTGTCATACATCCATTGTGAATGTGACTGTTTCTTATTCTCTTTCTCAGTGGGTATGTAAAAGAAGGCACTCACTTTATCAATAGCTAATAGTATATATCAGAGACCCTTGTAAATGTACCACATCTGGCACGACAGCTGCAATTAAGTTTACAGTGGTCCTGCTTCATAAGCCGGACCAACTATATTTTAAGGGATCGTGTTGTGAACTAAATGGTGATATCATAAGCCAGACCAACTATATTTTAGGGGATCATGTTGTGAACTAAATGGTGATATCATGGGGATCACAATCCCTGCATCTTTTAAGTTTTTGTGAGTAGCAATAATCACTCTGTGATATAATTTTGTTCAGGATTTACTATATTTTATGGAAGAGATCAGTTTCAGAGTCTTCCTCTTGGCATTTCCTAATGCAGTTGTTCTTATCCCACAGAAACCAATGTGTGGGTTCTGTCAACTACTGAAGATTTTCATTCAAATTATAGATTGTGAAAATAGGGCTTGTGGATGTAGTGGATCTTCTGTGAGTCAGATCCGGGCCAAGACTCCCTTTATGACTGGAGTGTACGTGCTTATGGTCTACCATAGCAGAGAGAATGAGAATTTAGGTATCTAGTATCTGTGTCCATAGCATTTTTTTCTAACTAGCCATTGAAATATGAGATCTTCCTTTACCTCTGTGTAAAATTACCCAAGTAAATTGCCATACAAATGTGTTTAGTAAAGGAAGGTGAAAAATCACTACTGTGTATACTTGCTGTGCTATCAAAGGGTCTTTCTTCCTGGGGCCCTGCTCCCCCCACAACCAGTTGTTCCTTGGGCTAAAAAGTATATAAGCTACGAAAAGTGGGGAACGGGCCGTGAAAGCTCACTGAGGTAACTGACTTCAACCTTTTGCTCATTCAGTCTTGATATATTTTAATCATAAATGTTAAGAAATATACTTTTCTGTGTTTTTTTTCATCTTGGCCCATGTGTCTCCATGTTTTTTTAACATTCTTTACCTCAACCTTGCTGTCCATTATGGTATTGTCTCTCTTGCCTCTACTCTTTGTCATCTGGTATTTAAGAATCTTATTATCCCAAATGCTATAAGGGAGCCTAGCTTTATAACAGAATCTCCTGTCATTCTCAGCTTACCTTGAACGGTCAATACTGAACACATCAGCAATACTGGAACGTTTTTCACTTGCATATTTATTACTAACTTGTTAAATAAAGTGCCTCTAGGACAATGATTCCCAGCTTGTGGCAATGGTCTCCACTGCACCACAGGGTACAATTGATAATGTCTGGATACATGTTGGTTGTCACAACTAAAAAGGCTATTGAGGTCTAGTGTGGAAGGGATACTGTCCAATATTCCACAAGGCACAAGACATCCCATCACTTCCACAGTAAAGAAATTTCAATTCTCAAATATCCATAATGCCAAGGTTGAGAAATTCTCACCTACATTATCCAAAAAATCATAGTCAAACATTTTTAATTCCCCAGAGCTATATAATAGATTAATTTAGGAAGACTCATTTCTCTTAAACTTTTTGCTATTTTCCTCCAAATCTTACTATAGTAGATCTGGCATCCTATACTGCCTTTAACATGAACTTTTTTCAAAGTTCCAAGAGTCATCTCAACAGTATATTAAAAATTTGTCCCAGGGATGCTCACTGAGATGTCACATCCTAAGGCATGAGGTATTACATTTATCAACAAAATCTCCTTTATCTGGCTTTCCTTTCATTCTGCCTTTTATTGGGCACCCTAAAGAGTCTCTTTCAGTCTTACTCAGGAGCACCCTGGCAGTATATGTTAGCTGTGTCCTGCAGCTTATTTAGTACAAAATTACTCTACTACTTTATCAGGTTCAGCACTTTCCCAGTCAAATAATGCTGAAATTTAATGCTAGTTACTGCTTTTAGGCCATGAGAAGAGATGGGAGCATATCCTTAGGAAAGTAAACTTTGCAAAGCACTTGCCTCGTTTGAAACTTCCCCATAGTCTTTAGGCAAAGGGATTGAAGAAATCTTTCTTTTCAAACAAAGTAGAGTGAATCACTTCTGCAATCCCTTCTGCAAACTAAAGATTCAGGAAAATCTTTAGTTTTAAGTTTCTCAAGTGACTGTCCCCAGACATATCCTTTCTAATCTCATTTCACTTCTTCCCTCTGAAGACCCTGATTTTGGCATGGACGACTTGATTAGTCTAAGAAATTCAAACTTTTCCGAATTTGTTTCAATTTTACAATAAGGAACATTATTTTTTAGCTTCATATGTTTTAATAGAGAGTCTGAATCTAGGTTTGGAAGTTTGATTACTGACATCTTTTATGCCTAACCCCTTCCTCTCCCTTTTACACCCCACATCTGAGATTGCTGGTAAGAAAGCCTGGGTGCTCCCTCAGATTGTACATATGGGAAGTTTAAATCACATGCTATCACTCTAAGCCTGGCCCCACCTCTAATTACCATAAAAATCCCAAGCCAGTCTTTTCTTTCTTTACTGTCTCAAGATATTTTAGACTTGCTGGAGTGTTACACTCTCTCTTCAGAAAGCCCTATTGTGTGAGTAATAAACCTTCTTATACTCTGTGGGTAAATGTGTGGCATCACCAGTTTTAACTGGCAAACCAAATGTTGGATAGAGGTACATTCTATTTCTGTAGAGTGCCTGCACCATCAGCTTCAACCTGGAGAAAACTAAAACTTGCTTTAAAAGTTTCCAACGAGGTCCTCTGACTTAAATATTTGTGTATAATAGATAACAACACATCTATGACTGTGGCAGTATCTACTCAGTTCCGTAGTCCTTGTGGTTATCTCCTTCAGACCTCTCAAATATCAGAAACATTGCATAAACTAATGTGTCTTTTCTATTTGTAGTTTGTCCTTCTTTCCAAAAAGGGACAGCTTCAGCAGTCATCCTGTTAGAACTCACCAAGGACAACCCAAATTCCACCTAACACTTATCAAGGGGATCATTGCCATCCAGGCAACATGTTGTGTAACTCTAAACTTTCACCCTTAACGTCCATTTCTTTGCATTGAATCTTGTACCAACTATCTTAAATCCATCCTAGTCTTTAAGCAGTGCTTCAGATGATCATTTTTGTGCAAGAAGTTTTCTTTGAAGATGTGATTTAAGTGAAAGATGAAAGGAGGGAGGAAATCACAATAAGCCAAGATAGGAAGCTAGGAAAAGTGTGCATCCTCAGACTGATTACTCACAAAGCGCTGGACCATGAATGGTATCACAGAGGGTTACCTCTTTGAGACAAGGGGGCTAGTCTTTTACACCCTTGTATCAATCAGTCATCAGGTATGGGCTATCTTTCCACGGAAAGCATAATTGGGTAAGATGATTTCCATTGCCAGGGATAACTCTCCAGGGTTAACAGACAAAACCCCACAGTAAATGTGTATGGGTGCAACATTCTGATAAGGAGGGTCTGTGTGAGATTTTAAAAACATGTATATCAATTAGACAAATGCAAATGAGAAGACTACTCCAGTAGATATTGCAAAGGTACGCACTTAGCATATTCCAGGAACAGAAAGAACAGTTCTGCTGTAATCTGGTGGGTTAGAAGAGTGATTTGAGATGAAGTGTAGGAGGTAGGTAGGGGCTAGGTCAGATAAGCTTTTGAAGGCCAGGATAAAGAGTTTAAGTTTTATCTTAAATGGGAGTGGAGAGTTTTAAAAATAATTTAAAACAGAGAGTGGAATAATCTGATATTATCCTTTTAAATTTTATCTTTTTAAGAGAGTTAATAAACTTCTGTTATTGATGTCTCAGTCTTACAGTAAGTATCAAAAAGAAGTTTCAAAGTGGACAGGTGAGTGTGAAAAGGGGTGTCAAACCCTTTCCTAAACTCTGTTAACGTATCTGTTTTAAGATAAAAGTGAAGGTAAGGAAAGAATACAAAATTGATTTTTTTAAACCTCAAATGAACTTCACACTCATGTTAGGAGAAATTAGAAAAATTATTTGATTTGAAATGACATACTTAAAACATCTTACTTTTTTGCACATTGTAAGTGGTAGAGCAAATCCCATTTATTATATATGTGAAAGATACGTTTAAAATTTGTGCCACTCTTGGAAGCAGCATATGTTGTTTCATATGAAACATTAAGAGAAGTTTTTGGCAGTGTCTTGTGACATAAAATAATGTATTTCATCATGAACAGTGTCTTGCACACAATCAAGTGTCAATATATATGTAAAATTTGTAGATAGACTTTTATCTCACAGGTGACAGAGGAAAATCATATCCTGAAGTTTTTCTATTATTTCACTTCATGACTCTCATTACCATACAATTTCTTTATTAAACTGAATATTATATTGACTAAACATATTTTTAGGAAGACCATCATATAAGTGAGAAGTTTTAAATGATATGTCCAGTTGAATAAATAACTAGTTTTAATAGAAAATAATCATTTTAAGTATTTTTTACTTTTGTCCTAATCATTTGGAATACATCAATAATCTTACTTTTAGAAAAAAAGCTCAATATTCTATTAGACAGTATAATAAACTGTTGA